AGATGGAGGAAGAAGTAAAGGTATATATAGAGGGAATGAAAAGACGGTTCGAGAGCTGGACCTACCTAATTTACCTCCCAGATAATGCGGCATAATTAAAGCAAAATGTAACGTCGCTGGCAATTAAAACAAATTTATGCGACCGAGATCCACGATCGGGCGACCCGAAGAGCTGCCCTGGGCCTGCTGGCCAGCAACCTTGCTGTCTACTTGACTCTTCTGCGTTTATACGAACGCAGTGGTATTATTATTGTTACTGTAGTAGTAACATCATTTAGTATTCATCATGATCAAATGCTGTATACTTTCACTTTATATTTATAAGTATCTGTCTCTTCCTTCCTCTTTTTTACAGGAAACAATTTTATTACTATGCTTCCAGAGAAGTATGTGCACTGATAATAATTGCCAATGTATGTATATATTTTTTGTATTATCTTGCTGCTGCTACTGATGCTGATGCAGTTTTATAGATTTATTGTTTTTATTTTGACTACCTTTATTAAGCACTTATGTGTATATATAGGAATAAAAGTCAAATAAGAGAGAGCATGAATTCTCATTAGCCAATCGAGATCTGTCTCACTGTTCAAAGATCTTTTGAAAGATTACCGCCTCTTATCCCACAATTCGCCATTAATACTACGTGAAACAAAGGCAATTAAAACAAATAATACAATGAAAATAATATCACGATATACATTATGCTAATGTTATGGAAAAATTGTTTTTTATTATTTATCATCTGTTACTTTTTTGATCATATTTCATTTTTATTTATGTCTATGCTCGAAATCGTCATTAAATAAATATCTAGCTCTAGATTCGTGATTAAGATTCGTCATAATATCCTCTTAATTATGCTACATGATAAATGATCAAGAAAGAAAATAAAAATCTTTTATCCTCCGTGCAAAAATTTGCATAAATTATGAACTTGATTCTGGGTAATGTGAAATTATTTTGTGACTAAGTTATAAAAAAGGGGAGATGAGAACATATTTATTATTTATTTTTCAACATTCCGCTAATTTTGATCGTGATAAAATAATTATGAAAAATGAACACGTTATTCAATCATTTGAGGAAGCAATTGGAGTTGTAATTCACTATGGATTTTCGTGCACAAAGAAATTTAATAAAAATTTCAATATTGCTGTAATAAAAGCATTTTACCATTGAATCAATTTATTGAATATAAATGAATATTTTTTAGTATTAAATTAGTATTATATTAAAAATAAAATTTAATAAAATCCATTTGAGAAAGAAATTAATTATTTTTCGAAATTCAAAAACAATTAAAAATTTTATGAGATTAAATTACTTTAGAAAATAAACAGAAATATCTATTTTTAAGCTCTCGAGTGTAGGATTTAGTGGATTTAATAAAGAAATAGACCTACATCCGCGGATTCACAGTTTCATCATTTTCAAGTAGAAAATAATTTTATAGAAAAAAAACATAATCAATATGCATTATTTTTAATGAATAACATGATAAAAATTTAAAGATGTTCACTTTGATGAAACGATAAAGAATAAGATGTAAAAAAAAAACTAAAGGGCGGAAAGATAAAAAAATGAAACAGACAATCTTTTGGTCTATAACAAGATCAAAAGAGCCTTCTTTGAGTCGATTTAACAAATACGGTTCGCAACTACTGCGACTCATAAAGCAATGTCACTACACTCGGACATTCTCAATTTAATTCTCTTGTCGCTGTTGATGGACGAGAGAGCAACGTCGGCTATATCGATTATATCTTCTCATCCACCAACCCTCTCCCATTTCTTCATCTGTACAAATGCTTTGTGTTTAATTCTCCCACTATATGTACAAGGTATAGACAGTGCCAGTGTACTGAACATTCTATTCTTTTCTACTTCTATCCTCTTTTTATCTTCCAATATAGGTATGCCATTTTATTTTCTACGACGTGTAATCGTGTTGATCGTTTGCGACATAATAAAACGCAGACTTCAATCTTATATAGATGCACGTGAAGCTTCAAAATTACGCGAAGCATCAAACAAAGAGTCTAAAGTTTAAAGACAAACATAAAAACGTGGGTTTTTGAAATAAAACAATACCAAGAGCTGTCGTCCAAGTATGAATTCCAACTAAATTGCCAAATTATTCCACAAAATATAACTCTCGATATCTTGACTGCGATATAGTCCACTGCAGAAACGAACGTGATGCAGAGATGAATTCGACTGTGGAAAAAAAAAGTGAAAGATATAAATCGATGTCCAATCGGATTTTATTGTCGCAGAGTTAGCTTCTCTCTCTCTCTCACTTTTTCGTTCTTTCGCTCTCTCATGTCGCTAAGTCTTCGTTGAGAGTCCGAAGAAAGGTGATAGGAAACAGGTCTGGTCTCGCCTGAAGCGAGGCAAAACTATTTCACGTTTTTCTTCGCAAGAGAACACCCCACTATCGTCTCACCATCTGCTTGACGATCCTTGGAGCGTCGGCAATCTCATGAATACGTCATATCTATTCTTTTACTTGAAAATAATCCACTCTGCCAATCTATATATACATATATAGGTATTGGCTACTTTGATTTTTCATTGATTGTATCAGTCCAGTTCTTTTAAGTTTACCGTTTGAAAATTTGTGGGTTCTATTGATCTTCGAAACAGATATCATCAATGTATCCCATGTTATAGGCTTGCTTGGATATAAATATAAATCTTTTATATACTTAAGAGGTTGTCTAATAAAAAATGATGCTTACAGGTCTTTTTATGTCAGCTGGCTATCGATATTATTGGAAAAAAAATTTTATTCACTCCAAAAAAGTTTCGAATATATATTTTAATTACTTTTATTCATGTAATTTTTTTCTATCATAAATAATTAAATTGTTTGTTGTAAATTAAAAATATTGATGATAATATAAAAAAACTTTTAAAGAAATTGGAGCTATTCAAAATTATTGGAGTACTTCAGTTTTGTTAATGCAAAAAAAAATTATTATCAATTAAATTATATTGTTTTGGGTTTAAATTATTCAATTATTTTATTCGTCTTAAAATTGCAAGAAAATGATCATTCTAATTCCATTAATCCAGGAATGAACACAACGAATAATTAAAAATCGAAAGCAAAATATGATGGTAATTATAAAAGCCATTAAAGTAATCAAATATCTGTCCGATAAAATCATTTTTATTGATCTACTTAAAAGTGATTATTTCATGGATGTTTTAATTGTTTTTTTCTCAATCAAGGATCCACTCATAGCATGTACCTTCAGAGTCTATGTTGGGTACAAACCCATTGAATATAAATTAAACAGTTTATTAGAAGTAACAAATGATGCATGAGGGTATAATGATACCTACATGATTACTTTTACACCACTATTACTGTCATCATGGTAGTTATTTCATCACCAGAAAAATCTGTTAAGTGATTCTCAATGAGTTCATTAATAGCAAAAATTGATACCTTTCAACAAATCTATTGACGGATGCTTTTTTAAGCTCACTCTCTAACATTTGATTTCCGATGAATTTTCTTTAAATAAAGTAGATCTAATGGCGTTAGTCAGAAGATTGATTTAAACATAGCAGTGGATTGAATTCACTTTTATTACAATATTGGTTCATGATCTTTAAATGCCAGATCAAAGTTTACTCAGACATTTCGAATAATCTATTAATAAAATGCGTATTAAAAAGACAATAACATTTCAAATAATTGTTTTTCTCCTTTTACAAATGCCGATAATAATAGAGACGTTAAAATTATGTTGTGTTTCATATATAAAAATGGGGAGTAAAGCCCATCATCTATCATTCCATCCCTTGTTTATTTTGGAGCAAGTTCGCGTGTAATAGGGATAATAATTGAAGAATATCGAATGGGATGGAGACCAAAAAGGGATGAGAGCACGTGAGAAATCACGTCCAAGTTCCCTTGAGAGGTCAGATAGGTGCGTCTACCTGCGACTGCCCTCGTCCCCTGTCCTACGTCACTACACTTCATGAATGGCCGGACTAGAGCTCATGGAAAGAAAGAGGAAGAGATGTTGGTCGACAAGTGTATAAAAGTGGGAGCAGATACCGCAGGTGTGAAAAGTTCCGGTTGGCGCCGGCGCTTATCCTCCTCATCGCATCGTTTTCCTCTCAAAATTCTTTACCTGCGTAACGGTTAGGACATTTTTATTTTTATGTAGCCAACACTATGTATCTGAATTGCACATCGCAACGTTAACACTGTTAGCTAAAACACCGTAAAAATATTTCAAATTATTGACATAACATTGTAGCTGTTTTTCTACGTAATGATGTAGTTCGTAGTAGCTAGCAATACGGCATGCATATAAAATCATAGAACCTTGAGTGGTTTTGCGATAATAATGCATAAGGGAGGTGGAGTTAAAAGTAGGAGAGACCACGCCTCCATTTGGTATCACAGTGAGGTGGGAGAAAATCGCGAGCACCGATGGAGGAGAGGGAATAAGACAGAGCACAAGAGAATGATAGTCGCAGGAGTATCAAGCCTAGAGGGGAAGAATAACTAAATAGAAGTGGGAGGGAAGCATAAAGATATGACTTTTCCAAGATCATCAAAACTTATAACTATCTAGGTGAATAATTTCCAGAAGATCTAGCTGGAGCACTGAAGCAACATCTCCAAGCAAGAAGTTGGCAAGAATCCATGACAGTTGCAGGATAGTCTTTGGTGAACAAAGGCGTTAGATACTACAGAGGGTGGTAAAATAATTGATATGATGTAGTGCGTGTAACAGAAATGTCGGTGGTGAAACGAGAGGGATACAGTCTGAGGGTGGACCTTTAGGCTGCCAGTGGGGTTTGATATTGAGTCGAGTGGGGGCCGAGTGCGTGAGGATGAAAGTATGTTAAAGATGGTGATGGCAGTGGTGGGAAAAGCGCGCGCAGGGTGTTTGCCCTACCACTAGATGTGGAAGTGGTTGGCGGAGAGGGGCGTCGCGACGTCGGGCCCCCAGAGCTGGTCTGTCCGCCGTCCGGCCGACTCGAAGCTTATTCGAGCCCCCGCGGATATTCGCGATTTAATATACAAACGGACGTTACGTATACACGCGTATACTCTGGTTGTACACACACGATAGGGGTGGTCGTACGTGTATACATATGCATGTACGCATTAACTCGGGGGTGGACATATAACAACAACACAAGGTACTGTTTAATCAACACACCGACGACACGCATCTCGGCGTGTACACGCGTGTGATCGGCGCGTATGCGTACATGCGCCGATAACGCGAATGTGATGCGCCACGCATGTTGAGAAAAGCCGTTGCTTGGTATCGGCCTATAACGCGCCATCAGAATGATCCATCGACCCTCGATGAGTCGTTTGATGATGATGACAGTAGAGCTATTTGTGAGGAAATTGTAAATCGGGAACCAGTTCCGGGGGAGAGGAGGAAGGGAACGAAGGTGGTGGTGAGAAAGAAGAAGAAAAGGAAGAGGAAGAAAATAAGATAATTGTTTAAATAAAAATAAAAGTTAAAAAAATAAAATAAAATGCTGGCGTAAATGAGAAAGAAAGTATCCCGACAAGAGGCATTACACATACACTGAGTAGCACGTGCGTCGAGTGGTTGAAGTGGTCTACTCTACTACTGGCGTCGGTGCAAGAAGAAGAAGAAGAAGTGCAAGAGTAAACACACCGTTTAAGTTGCTCAGTTAGCCAATGAATTTCCTTAATTTCTCCAAGACATTTCTCCACGTGGATTACAGTTGTGTGAAGTTGAAGCAACGGCTTAGAATTGTGAAAGCTAACGTGAAATAAAATTGATTGATCGAAATAAAGTGGATTTTTTATAATAGGGAGGTGTGTTCTCCCTTTTAGTGACTAGTGTCAATGGTGTTTAATTATTTAATATACTCGATTATTAATAACTACAGTGATACATGTAATGAATATTTATTATTATTGTTATTTTTATTATTATTTATCAAAGCTTTTTGACGAGAGACTGAAATCTCTAGAGCAATGCACCTCTATCCAAGTATACTGTCCCGTGTAAGACGGGATCCCGTTTGAAAATTTCCCAGTGGCTTGGATTTGAAGGGTGTTTATTTACTTCGTGGTGTTTTTCAGACGGTATTGCAGCCGTCGGAAGAAGGAAAACGTCAAGAGAATCAATTGAATATAATCTTATAGCCACTAAACAGACACGGAGGGATGTCGAGAAGAAAGCAGGCACGACCTAGCCGTGCCAACCTTGAAGAGGATCTGGTGCATGGACCTCTGCGAAATAATCCTCTGTCGAGTCTCCAAGATCCACTTACGACACTACGTAAGTCTCACTTCACTTGCTTTGTGTCATTTATACACCTGTGATCTTAGCCTAGATCAGTTATAACCCTTCACTTTGTTTTATGCAATATGTTTGTTTATTTATCTATCATATTCACATACCTCATTTACTTTTACTTTTTCTCAGTTACAAAACAAATGGAAAGTCGATAGAAAAAAGTCTTGAAAAAGAATTTATTTTATTTTTAAAGAGTTAAATAATTAGTTGAATCAATTTATAATAAAGAGTTTTTATAATTTGAATTAATTATTAAAATTTATCATTAGAAGTTGCTGTTGAATTTTAATTATTAAGAAAAAAAAATTCGAAAGTTTAAAATTTGACTTTATTCGTTCATTTTTATATTTCATAAATTGATTTACGATCGTTCTTCACTGAATTATTTGATATCAAGAAGAATTTTTTATTGACTTTGAGTGCTCATAAACTATGGACAAATTATCAAGCTGGTTCCATTAAAAAAGTCACAAAGTTAATCGACATAAAATGCATTCAGTAATTATTTACCCAATTATCATCAACATAAACAATAAATAATTTTTTTAATATCTTTATTAAATTGAAAACTTGAAAATTATTTTTACTTTATTATTTATTTAATACCAAGCAGTGTTTTATAATTAATTATTTGATTTCATTGAAAATAATTTCTAACTTGAATAAAATGAATTTACTATTTTTTAAACATTCTATTAATGATGTGAGATAAGTAATTTCTTTAAAACTAAATGAAGGGTTAAACTGTGATAGAATCACATATTGAACACATCCATTTATATATAAAACAAGTCAACAAAAATGATATTTTTTTAACCTGATAATAATTCTTAAGTAATATGATTATGTGAATCTTAAGCAGATTCTCAGGACATTTAATTGGTGATTTAAGTTATCGAGTCGAACTCGACTTCTTTTTAGTATGCATATTCACGCTTTTAAATTACACCTCATCTCTTATTTTTTACTCATTTATTCTTTAATATTAACCATAACGTATTTTCTTATCGTGAGACTCAATATAAATACACATATCGATACATCTAACTCATATATGGGCGATTAAAAGAGTTAAAAAATATTTTTATAGCAAATGTATAATGTAAATACGTTAGCGATTGAGTTGTCGTCGTTGTCTGATCATTTTTCGAGGTTTTAATGGATCCTCGCAAATTTCTAATATCAACCTAATGAATTACGACCTCATAACATCGCAAAATAGCCACTCATGGCCGCAGGTGTCCTTTTAAATATATCGTAGACGTTGGACATTTTACCATCTTCAGTTTTCTTCCTCTCTCTTAAAATATACTAAAAATTTTTTGCAAAAGGATTAAATATTTTTTTTTTTTTTTTATTTTAACTGAAACAGTTAAAATTTTTTCTTGATCTTGATCAGTTAAAAAGACATTTATCAAAAAGACCATAATATTTCCCGTCCATTTATTTTTATTTTTAAATGCTGATCAATTTGGATGCTACCATATTAACGAGAAAAAAATTGAAAACTAGTTTGTCATAATTTATAACGTAAGAAAAGAAGAAGAAAAAATAAAAAGCAAATATTTGTTTGGCATGATAATGATTATTTAAATATTCATAACTGTAAGGAGATATCATATTTTATTGCGTTGGCTTTTAGTTTAAATTTATGGTGAAATGATTATTTTTTAGAATGGATAATATGGACAATTAGTTGGAAGCCATTTCACTAATGATAGTGTATATGTAACACGTTAAACTAAATAGTTAAAAATAATAATACTGTTCAGTGATCTTATCAATCACCGTTCAGCAAGGATTTTTTTCACGCTTTTACTCATGGATGACTCGACTCGTTGACACGATTAATGAACACAATAGTACATGTGTACATGGTGAAGCACGCATTGCGGGTGGGTGAGAGAAGGTGGCTTGACTGTCACGAATAGAATCGTGACAAGCAATCCAACTCTTTTCCAGCAGCTAGTCCAAGCCGAAACGCTCTTTGAATCTTAATATTTACATGATACTAAAATACTTTTGATGTGAAGTGAAGAGTCCAGTTATAAATCGATTGTTCCAGACTATATTGTCATTCTTGAATACTTTGTTAATTATTTTTTATGTTGGACATGGTTTCAATTTTTTTTTTTCACCGCCATAAAATGCTCAAAATGTGTTCAAATTGTTAATTAAATTCGCTTGGACTGGATCCAAAAGTGTGAACTAATGAAATGTGAAAGAATAATTAATAATGATGATGGGATAGTTCGTATAAATGACAGTTTTGTTTGTAGAAATTCAAGTAGGTGGTTATTTTGAAAATAAAATACTTGCATAAGAATCCAATCCATGCACTTTCACTGCATTGAGTTATCTGGCTGGGAATGTGTATGGTAGTTTTCAAGTTTTGATTGATAATAATATTATAGAGATCAATATAGAAAAAAAAGTTAAAAGTTATTTTTTGGTTACTGACAGATTAATAAAACTCTACATAATGATATTTTCATAACAATGTTAATAATAATGCCCTGCTATTGTTATTAATTAATGAAATGAATAATAATATTTTACCTAAAAATAAAACAATGAAAATAAAAAATCTTTCTTTGTGTCATTTTGAGTGAAATTGAGTTAAAAGTTGAATATTCCAAAAATCTGATGAAACAATCTAATTTTTTACTCACCAACTTTTATGATTAGAGTCAATAAAGTAATGAATTGTATTGTAATACCAATTTTTACAGTTGAATAATCTTTAACTACATTCGAAATCGACTTTTAATATTTTAAATAAAAATTTTTCATCTGTCATACCTACTAAATTTAATTAATTAATTCTAAAAGGAAAAAAATAAATGATTGGTAAAAATAAAAACATCATTCTCGATGTCTGAATAATTACCAATTGCACTCGGCCCAACTCGTGTTATTTTTGCATCAAGGTATGCTCCTGTTCTCTATTCAATTGGAAGTTAAATAACAATAATAGAGGGAATTGGCGATCATGGACAAGCGAGATACGAGTTAAGATATACGTGAAAGATGGATTGAGGGAGGAGGTTCTATCGATAGGCGGAGATCGCTATATAACTGCGAAAGATCGACTGGACAAAAGAGAGTATCGTGATCGGTAGGATGACTCTCACCTTGAGCAATGGAGAAGGGAACGAAGAAGGCGGTGAACAAGACAAGGAGATAGAAAAAGAGAAAATATTTATATATACATATATACTTATGTGTGTATCAAGAATGAGAGCGTTTGAGCCTTCAAGTTGGAATCTGAAGAAAAGCATGCATGCATTCGCGCTTACCGGTTTCTTACCCTTTATTGTCGCATGTGGATATTTTTGTTTATCATACAAGCGTAGGTGTTACACTTTAACAAGCCCTTCTTTTATTATTTTTTTTTCCTAGATCTGCTGTGTAATTTTATAAGTTAGCAACGAAAAAATAGTTGAAATATTTTTATTGAAATAATAGATATGTTAACTATTGGCATGTTTATATGCTGCTTATATATTCCACCTCATTGGGGAATAGTTGGTTACTTTAACAGGACATCTTTGGTACTCACGTCTGTCAATGTGTCAACTCTTGATGACTTGAGACGAGCTGCAATCTTGTAAATAAGTCTACTCGTTATTTCTATCTTTTCCACGCCCTTTTATATATATATATATATATATATATAAATAATTTGATTCGATAAAAAATAAATGTCCGGAAGAGAAATTAAAATTCTTGCTAGAACGGTTAAATCATTTCAAACATAAGAGAAAACTCAACAACTTCAATTTAAATAATCTCCAATTCTTTACTAAATTAAGACTAATTTAATTAACACAAAAAATTATAATTACGTAAATTTAATGAAAATATTCCATTACTCAATGTCTAGATTTGTTGCTTAAAATCATCGAGTTGATGGTTAAATTAGAAAGCATTGAAGAATTTCTCGGTTATTGTTGATAGTTGATAAAAAAAAATAAAACAAATCAATAAAGTAATGACAAATCTAGCGAATTACATGCAAAAATACTTACTTAATGAAATACAAAATGATATTGTGTAAGAAGTAAATTTGTCGGAAAAGCTTAAAAAAAATTAAACTAACTGTTAGATCATTGAGTTGGAATATAAAATAAAAATTAAATGCGTATCAAAGAGAGAAGCGAGGAAGTACGCCCCCTGGGAACGAGGCGTTTATCGAACCGTGGGAGCACGGCGGTTTACTCTGGAGAAAGACAAAAGAAGGAAAAAAAAATATGAAGGCAAGAGGGAGAATATAAGAAAGAAAGATAAAAGAAAAGAAAATGGAGGAGCAATATGACCCGTCATAGGGGATTGAATTAAACCGCCTTCGCGGCTTTGACCGCGTGTAAAGATAATTGGCGACCTTGGCTCTTCCGCGAAGGAATCCGCGTACGCAGCTCATCGTCTTAGTGTTTTGCCCATCATCCAAAGAGCGGCATCGAGAATAGCCCGAAGAAATACACCGAGAACTTGCGTGACATAATGACGGAAGGGCCGACAACTCTTGAGGAATGACGAAATGCGGGACGATATTATTTTGAAGATCGTCGACGAATCAATTGGGGTGGTCTTAGTCAACTTCTAAACTTTTGCTCATTTTACTTTACAACATTTCAATACTTCTTTCAATTATCTCCTCATTTAATTCTACTTATTCAATACCAATGTTTGGATAATTTTTTTTTGTTTTCCAAGTTCTTAAGTTATTGATCGCTATTTTTGGAGTAATTAAGAGTCAGAAGTGAGTTGATTTTTGTTTTTTATTGAGTACTTATCATTTTATCATTGTTTTCTACTTTTTTCTAGTACTGAAGATTCAAATATTTTTGCTTAGATAGTAATTTTAGGAATCACTGATGAATCAATGAAACTGAATAAATATAATTCAAACAATAAAACTCCTTGAAAAAAAAAAATTATTTAAAATATTAGAAAATAAAAAATCATTGATTATTTAATTG